ATATATATATCGGGTGTATCACTCTTTCGCGTTTCGCGAGCGCTTTCTTCTCTTCCGCGCGAGTTGCAGCTGCATTATCTGGCCAGCGTTTGATAAACGCGCGTCTCCACACGTTAATTAATTAACGCGGATAGAATGCGGACGAGCGGGCGTGTGATAAGCTCGGCACCCCGGAATACCGAGACGCGCATTCAGCGCCGCGGCTCTTTATCGCGACACACGCCGTTGTGGATGGACCGAGATCCGTCGGCATCCGATGCAACTTTACTCGAGATCGGTTGTATTGTACCGGCGATTCGTTGTTTCGCTGAATGATGAATGATTCCCCGCGGCGCGGCGCGGGGGCTGCAATTTCGATCGTCATTGATAACTCGGAGAACCGAGCACGAGAGGATGATCGATCGGCGTTAGTTCGCGAGAAAGAAGGCTCTTCCAGGATGGATGCGGTAGCGCGGTAACCGACGACGAGATATATCGCCGGATATAATAGAATAAAGCTGACACACCGATAATAATTTACTGGTGAATCTGGAGCTTCTATTTCTTCTCATTTTCACACAACGTCGTGAAAAGTATTCTTTTATACATGTGTTCACACTGAAAAAAAATATACTAAATCTAAAAATTTTTTTTTTTTGTTGAAAAGATTATTTATTTAAATACTTGCAAAGAAATTAGTTATTTCAATCAAGCGGCAAATATATTTGAATTAGTAAAATATAAAATAAAAGCAAAGTATGCTTTTATTTGCAAATAAAAAAATTATATTGAAAATCAAAATTAACAAAATGTATTTATGATTGAAAAATATATTTGATCGAAAAAAGTTTTTTTTTTGGTGCAAAGAATAATTTCATTTAAATATGATGCAACGTGTAAACATTTGTAAATCTCTAAAAAAAAAATTCATCTCAACACTATTTATTGGAAAGAAGAGATCGGGTCTCTCCTTTTAGTTGTCTTGTTTAATGGGGCAAGGTAAAAAGTAGGATGTAGGGTCGATTTTAAGTCTAATGGGATCACCGTTTAAAATTATTCACGGTTAATTCAGACTAGTTTAAATTGACTTTAAGTCGCATATTACAGGCAGGAAGTGAAGAAGCTCTTCGTGTAGAGGTAGTTAGAGCCGCTATCGCAACTTTTAATGCAACTCCATGACGAGGCGCCGTGTTCGCGATGCTTTATCGATGCCTTTCCATCGCGTTTCAGAGTTTACATTTGCGTTTCCCAAGCTTATATCTGTTCTTTGCCATGGCGATCCTAAACGGCAACTGCTATTTCGTCTCGTTCCTAATCGCGACGAGAGGATATACGATCCCGCCTTTTGATCACTTCAATTTTAATGGCCCGCAATTCGCGCGGCCGTCTCAAAGCCATTACAGCGCGCGTTCACTTGAACTCTTACAAGCGAGAGTTAACTGATTAATTGGATCCCGCATTAATTGGGTCTGCGCGATATCTAGATGCTAGTCGTTTTGTAGAATTCCATTCTGTTATGTTCCATTAACACACGCATGAATTCTTCAACGTGTCATTGAATGATAATTAATCATTGTATATTTTTTTAATAATAAAACACTAATATTATATTATAAAAGATCCTGGAAATTTTAAATAAATAAATATTATATGGATGCGCGGAAAAAAGTGTGACAGATACAATTTAACACTCGCCAGTTATGAAAATCCGCGCGAGGATCTTAAAATGAAGATATCGGTGCCGATGAACGTGTCACGCGTTGATTTCAGGACTCCTTGAGCCATCATTACAGTCGGGTGTTAAAATTACACCCTGCCGAGAAGCCGATCGGATCGTGATACAAGTTTGACGGTAGAACCAATCTCCGGATCTCCATCTGCATGTAAATTACATTGAAGCTGTCAACCGCAAGACAGTTGATCCTGTGTCTTTTATTAATTCCTCCTATCAACACAATTATTATTATTATTACCGTTCGAATATTGTTGTAATTTTCCAATTACCGTTACCAGTCGTCGTCGACCTTAAACACTCGTCGAAATGACAACTGACGTTTTGGCAGGATTTATATCATCGTTGAGGAAACATTGCGGCAATAAAGCATCGTGCGTGGAGGGGCTTACAGGGGAGAGAGATTTATTCTTAAACGAGTTTAAAGAACGAGAGTTGAATTTTTTATAACGGCAAATTGTGTGCTCAAGTAGTGCGCTCGTTTCTGAAACTATACACGATAATTTAACGGTGTAATCGCGAGTGTAAACACTCGCTTACATCCCGGGCAGTTAGTGGGCCACTGTGTTTGCCAGCGAGATAGCTTCATCGCACACGCTTTTAATATCGTCTTGCAAACATCCGCCTCCTCACCATGCGCGGTATGTGTGACGTTGCTTCCGCGGAGATGATATGCACCAGGTCAGAAGTGCAACGAGCAGGAAGAACGCGAAAGATGTATACACGCGAGAACAATTAATCTCCCTCCGCGAGATGAGAAACGAGCTATCATGAGTTATCACATCGGTGCTGTCGCGTCCTGCCGAAGGGCAAGGAGAATCATTCTGAGAATCTTGAAATCATATAAAATCTTGGAATCCAAAGCTTTTGATATCTACACTGAAAAAAAATGTAAAAACTGAACCCAAGAAATTTTTTTTTTTATGTAAGAAGATTATTTGTTTAAATAAAAGGAATTAATTATTTCAATCAAGCAGTAAATATATTTGAATTAGTAAAATATATATAAAACAAAAGCAAAGCATGATCTTATTTGCAAATAAAAAAAAAAAAGTTTTGTTTTTTTAAATCTTTATTATACTAAATTACTTCCTTTAAAAGAACAGTTTCAAATTTTTGGTTGCGGCAATAAAGCATCGTGCGTGGAGGGGCTTACAGGGGAGAGAGATTTATTCTTAAACGAGTTTAAAGAACGAGAGTTGAATTTTTTATAACGGCAAATTGTGTGCTCAAGTAGTGCGCTCGTTTCTGAAACTATACACGATAATTTAACGGTGTAATCGCGAGTGTAAACACTCGCTTACATCCCGGGCAGTTAGTGGGCCACTGTGTTTGCCAGCGAGATAGCTTCATCGCACACGCTTTTAATATCGTCTTGCAAACATCCGCCTCCTCACCATGCGCGGTATATGTGACGTTGCTTCCGCGGAGATGATATGCACCAGGTCAGAAGTGCAACGAGCAGGAAGAACGCGAAAGATGTATACACGCGAGAACAATTAATCTCCCTCCGCGAGATGAGAAACGAGCTATCATGAGTTATCACATCGGTGCTGTCGCGTCCTGCCGAAGGGCAAGGAGAATCATTCCGAGAATCTTAAAATCATATAAAATCTTGGAATCCAAAGCGCTTGATATCTACACTGAAAAAAAATGTAAAAACTGAACCCAAGAAATTTTTTTTTTATGTAAGAAGATTATTTGTTTAAATAAAAGGAATTAATTATTTCAATCAAGCAGTAAATATATTTGAATTAGTAAAATATATATAAAACAAAAGCAAAGCATGATCTTATTTGCAAATAAAAAAAAAAAAGTTTTGTTTTTTTAAATCTTTATTATACTAAATTACTTCCTTTAAAAGAACAGTTTCAAATTTTTGGCTGCTTGTTTCGAAAACACAGGTTTTCTTTATTTTAATAAATAATTTATAAACTAGTTGCAACTAGTAATTTATTTAATATAACAACATTTTTAGAAACAAAATATATATTTTTTAAGTAAAAAAAATCAAAAATAACAAAATGTATGAAATATATTTTAGTACCTCTGGTATCGCAAAATATACTTACTGAAATTCAAATCGCTGAAATTTATATCGGTGAGATCCGAGAATCTTTTTGTTTTTTACGGATTACAAAACTTACAGATCTTTTAGGGTTCAAAGTTCTCGCGGGCAACCCTACAGAGACCGCGTTAGATAACAATCGCGCGTTATCTCTCTTCCTCCGGCGCGATAAAGAATGGCGGGACGTGAGAGAGAGAGAGAGAGAGAGAGAGAGAGAGAGAGAGAGAGCCGGCGATGCGCTGGCGTTTGCGCGATTGCGGCGTCGAGAGGCCTAAGTGGCGGCATTCTATAGCAGCTGACGTTAATTACGAGGCGCCAGACGTGAATGGCCGCCTTGTTCCGAGGTGGTACTCCGGCCTCTTTTCCTCTTCCCAATCTTCTTTTCTTTTTCTTTCTTTTGCTCCTCTCTTCTTGCGCGTGCCACGATGCCGCGGAAATGTCGCGTTTCCGCCTGCGGCCTCTTCAAACTGGCGCCGCAGAAACTCGTGACTAATCATAACCTGGAGCGGAACTTTGAAAGTTAGGGTTGCACAAGATTCAAGACGAGACAATATTTGTAAAAATATTGTATTGATATTGAAAATTTTCGGAAACTTAAATCTTGTCTTGGTCTTGAGTGAATCTTGGTAGCAAAAATCTCGTCTTGTATTGTCTTATCTTGATTTTATTAACAATTTTTATCTAATACCAAACAATTGTTTACAATAATATTTAATAATATATAATAATATAAGATTAAAAATTTACGCGCATGTGTGTATTTAAAAAGATAACGAATATATAAATTGTACTACGTAATTAATTAAAAATCTTGTCTTGATATCTCGTGCAACCCTATTAGAAGCTGATGAAGAGATTTCGTTCAAAGTTTTCGAAAATTTATGGATCTCCTGAAAGGGGACATACAGGGCGAACAGACACTTCGTGTTCTGTATGGCAAATCCGTTTAATTATAAGTGCAATTTTTTGATATTATAGATATGTTAATATGTGATCTTTTCTCTACCGCTTCTCTCTCTCTTTCTCTTAAATTTTTTCGTCAAATTTTTTATTCGAATATAAATCCAGGTATCCAGATAGCGCATTACTGCTATTTTAGAAACTGTCTTTTTCAATCTTACACTAATTCAATTTTTTAATTAATTAAGATTTTAATCTACTCGTATATATTTTTACACGAACATGTGATTCCAAATAACTAATAAATGTTCAAAAATCTAGGCCGAACGTGTGCAGATCGAGATATAAAAACTATTGCTGTCCGGGATGGTCAAAAAAACCGGAAACGGGCCTGTGCGTTATTCGTAAGTAAAAATACAAGTTACTGATTGTTTTTTTTGTTCAGTTTTATAATAAATAGCGTTATTAATTTCTGATTTATCAAGACTGCGACACAACGAAAAAAGGCGAAAGCAAATAAATTAGAAAACTAAAATATAAAAGAAGCTGAAAGAATTTTAACTTATTATAAACTAAATTTAAGGTTTTACAAAAGCAAGGTACAATTGTTTCGTTCTCTTCAAATTTCACATTGAATTAAACTATATCGCAATCAAATTACTACTGCAATTAATAGAGTTTAAAATAAACTACTCACAAAAATTAGAGGAAAATCTAATTTTTCTTAAAAAATAGGCAAAATTCAGCCAACTGTAATTTCGTTAAAAATGAACAAAATTTAAATTCAAAAGAGGGTTTTAAAGCTTAAAATCTCTACTTTCGGAAGACCATTATTGTTTTTCAGTTTCTGTAAGTTTGGGAATTTTTACATGAAATTGTAAATTTCATGTAAATGAGATATAAAAAACTACGAGCTGGATAAAATGGGAAATTTTCTTCTCACTTTATGGGTCCGTCACGTGCCCAAAAAAATCTGCGAAAATTTTCGACTTTCTAATATGAAAGCTTTCTCTACAAAATCCTTTTTTTTAATTTTTTTAAGCTTTTTTGTTATTAAGTCATTGCCGTTTAAATAAAAAATGAGCATTTTTACTTGGATTGCTCATAACTTTAAAAGTCCTCATACCGCAATTTCAAAAATATATTCTGAAAGCTAAAACTTTGCTCTATCAAATGGTATAATAGTCAAGGTCTTTTTAAAAACATATAGACATGATGCAAATGAGTGAAAATAAAATGATTTAAAAATTAAGGATTTTTAATTTTCTATATGTAAAAATTCCCAAATTCACAGAAACTCAAAAACAATAGTAACTTTTAGAAAGTAAAGATATTAAGCTGTAAAATCTTTTTTTTTAATTTAAATTTTGTTCATTTTTAACGAAGTTACAGCTGTCTAAATTTTACTTATATAAAAAAAACTTTGGGGTGTTTCTTTAATTTTTGTGAGTAGTTTATAAAGCAATACTAAAACTACATAATTAACAAAGTCGGGTAATAAAATGAAGCATATGTTGACCGAAGGCAGAAGATAATAATCCGCATCCTTACGATATTCTAACGTGACTCGACCTCGCGCGAGATATTCGCAGAATAGAAAGCGGTTATTAATATTGCGCGGGGGGGAACCGCCTATCATTATATCGGTATTGCCCGCAGCCGATGATAATGATCGATGCAATTACGTAACGGATAAATAGGCATTTATGCGACACGAACGGCCGCCTCGAATGAAACTGGTTTAATGACTTGTTATGCGCTTCCTGCTGGTATCTGATAGCGTTATTAATTGTTAATTAATTTATGTAAGCATCTTATTGCCGAATTAAAATTATAAAGTAATTGTAAATTTTTTGTATCACTAAAATGTAAAGTAAAACATTTATAAATATATTCTGCGAGAATTAGTAATTAGCAATAACTATTCTATTGAAAAATATTAAACTCGATATACTCTCGAAAGCATGCGTTTTATAAATCCTCTTAAATATATTGTTCATATATTTTATAGCAATTTGCATAAGACGCTGCGGCTCTGTAGGAAGATGCATACAACCCAATATTTGTTTGTGCGAAGGTGGCATCGTCGCATCTGCTTGCGGCAATGGACAAAGCAAAGGTGAGATATAACACAAAATGATTCTAATTCATTTTATAAAGCTGATAATAGTCGTTAATAAATATCTTAAGCGCGGCGCACGATAATAGCGGAATTTGTTGAAAAGTAAATTTATTATTTTGTAAATTTGTCGTTGATAGTCATCGCGCACGAGACAGGAAGTGGCGGCGATCGTGGCGAGACCGGTAGATGTAGAGTTCATTGCATAAATGGAAACTGTGTGGACGGTCGATGTCAGTGTCGCACCGGTTATCAGGGAGAATTTTGCAACGAACGTGAGTGAGAAACTGGTATATTATATGTAGATTGAAATAAATTTGAAGACAGAAACATATACACACACCCATCCCACAAAGTAAAATTAGTTTTCATACAGATAATTAAATCGAAAATCTTTCTTTAGCTATTTGCCGAGAGCCTTGCCTGAACCAAGGAAGATGCATCGGTCCAGATCGTTGCGCTTGTATTTACGGCTACACCGGAAGACGTTGCGAGACCGATTTTAGGTAAGAAACGTACACTACAAATAGAATTTCTTTCAATCAAATAAATTACATTCTGTTAATTTTGATTTCTTTTTTTACTTAAATAAATATATACTTTGTTTTTAAAAACGTTTTGTTATATTGAATACATTATTATTTGCAAATTATTATTTGTAATAAGAATTATATAATTTTTAGAATAAATTATTTACTAATTTAAATATATTTGCTGCTTGATTGAAATAATTAATTCCTTTGCAAGTATCTAAATACATAATATTCTTTTAAAAAAAATAAATTTTTTGGGATTTAGTACATTTTTTTTCAGTGTACATTCTTGTAATTGCTCAAGTTGCCTCGCGTTATACAAGGATTATGTTCCAGGACCGGGCCATGTTACACCAAAGTGAGAAACGACCAATGCTTGGCGAGTCTTGCAAACGTGTTTTGCACGCGGCAATTGTGCTGCGCGACCGTCGGCAAGGGCTGGGGCCACCCCTGCGAGAGATGCCCCGCTAGGCTGGATTGCGAACAGGGTTATCTGAAGACCAAGCAGGGTCAATGCATCGGTACTGTTACCTTCATATAATTATAATCGTTTAATTTGATATTTATATGACAAATATGGGGTCGGAAAATTTTATTTGGTATTCTGTTCAGATATCGACGAGTGCGAGTCGATTCCCGGACTCTGCCAGGGCGGAAAGTGCTTGAACACCCCCGGTTCGTTTACGTGCGAGTGTCCCGAGGGACAGGCGAGGGACCTCGATACCAACGAGTGCAAGGACAGAGACGAGTGTCAGGAGGAAGGCATTTGCGCCGATGGCCGATGCATAAACACGAGCGGCGGCTATTACTGCCATTGTAACCCGGGATTCATACAGAGTCAGGACCGCAAGCATTGCATCGGTCAGTACAATATTATTAATAAAATAATAAAATGTTATTAGTTTTAATCTATTTATTAGTATTTATTTTATATAATTTTTCGCAGATATTGTTTTATATTATTTTGCGTCTCTTCCTATTAATTTTGATTGGCTGATTATTTCTTGGTAGATGGCAGACAGGGATTGTGTTATACAGCGGTAAATCGTAACGGGCAGTGCAAGAATCGGCTGGCGATGAGGTTGAGCAAGAAGGATTGTTGCTGCGGCAAAAACATGGGTCGAGGATGGGGCGACGAATGCTTTATCTGTCCCAATCCTGGCAGCGGTACGTACACGTTTTCAGGGAGGAGATTAATCCTATTGTATAAACGTTATCTTCCTTGACGGTATTAAATTAATTTTAGTTCGATCTGTAATCTTTCGAATACGGATAACTTTGATAATTCAATCAGATCGCCCGATTTTTTTTCGAGACAGTTCGAAAAAAAAGTCTCGTTCAATTTCGAAAAAGAGAGAGAGAGAGAGAGAGAGAGAGAGAGAGAGAGAGAGAGAGAGAGAGAGAGAGAGAGAGAGAGAG